ATTACCTTTTTAAGATAATTAAGTAGTTTGGCAGGAAGATATAAAGTGAGTGATTGACCTCTAAGAGGTAGAGGTATGCCATTTTATAAAAGCCATAGGTAGATCTCTGTCAGGCCTTTTTTTTCCTCAAAGCATTGTGGATTATATATTTTTTTGTTTGGTACCTTAAAAAATAAATTTACAGCAGCATGAGTGACTCTCACATTTCCCATAAAGGTCAATTATCCTCTAGTTATTACTAGCACCAACGTAAATATGCAACATACCAACTCAGAATTAAGAAAGGCAAGCCCTGAGAAATTCACATCTCTAATGGTAGAAAGGAGCATGTTGCTCTGAGCACAGCTTTGATGAAAACACTTCCAGAAAGACTGCCAGCTGTGGTGAGGGGGAAAATATGGCATCAACTCATCAACTGTAACAAGCAATCGTTATACACATATTTTGTAACTGTTCCTATCATTCTGTTTTTCTATCTCAACCAGTGTTTTAGGCATACTAATGGATACCATAACTGTAGTAAAAACTTAAGTATGACATGCGTCTAACAGACTTGTCCTCCTAACCCCTCAAACTATATCCCCATTTCTGCTCTGTAGGATTTGCTTTGATCACTGCTCTTTCCCTATGGTAGAGCTACACGTGACGTGAAAACACACACGTATCATTTTGTGAGTTGGAGTACTTACTTAGGCCTGACTTGGGGGTTACTTGTGCATAGCTAGCCAACGTCCAGCTTTACGTTCCTTTGAAGCAAAACCACATTGAAAAGCCTGAGAAAACCACATGCAACACTACAAGATACCTACTTATGAGGTCTTTTCAGATGCCTTCCATTGCTCACAAAGCGTGCTCTTCCTGTAGGAAACAGCCAGTCCCCCACCCCAAGGCTCTGAGGAACTCGGCAGGCACAAAAACTGGGTCTGTTTTGTATCATCGTCTAAGACGGGTCTTCATAGCATATTGTTGAAGCCCTTGTGCAAAGTGAAGCCTAGTATTGGATCTGACTCTTTGCCAGGCTGAAATTTCAGTTTATTTAGTTGAAGTATGTTCACTTTATTTGAACATAAACCATTGCTAATGCTTGGTTTGCATTTGCTTACATGGCTTGCTCACCCATTAGGAGTTTTGAAACTGGCTGCTGTCAAATTAATTGAGCAGAATTACATGTGTGAATTCACATACTTCTCACGGAGGTAAGGGACAGGTTCATGCCCCCGACCACTGATACAATCCTACACTCTTTAGCACAGGTTATCAAACCAGATCAGTGATGATGGGAGCAAGGTTTAACAGCAGCATTATGGCAATATAGATGTCAGCAAGCAAAAGTAAACCTTGCTATGAAGGTATGTGGTATTTACATAGCATGCATGTTCTAGATGGGTTTTAAGTGATAGGCATCAGACTTTCCTTCTCATGTATTTAGGAGGCTGTTCTTTATCCCTGTAAGTTGCCATGGTACTGTGCTTTTATTTGAAAACAAGTCTAGAATAGATTAAACATAAAAGGCAAGAAAAAAAATCCTTCCCTAAAATAGCTGTTTTTAGCTTTTTAAAATTTATCATTCCATCCATAAATGAGGGGCAGGAATGATGATGAGGATGCAACAGCAGAGAATGGACATCCACAGCTAAAACTTTGTCATCTACTGACCTGTGGCATGACGGCAACAGCCTGGAAGACAGACAGTGGTGAAACATCATCTATTCATCAGGATAAGGCTTAGATAAAGAAGCTGCACGTAGCACTGCCCAGCAGGTATCCCAGTGAATACATTTCAGGAGCCCTTACACATGGCATTCTGCCATTAAAAGCCAGGAGATGCCGAGACAAATTCCCATGGGTCCCTTTGGGTAGGCTGACACTGAATTTGTCGGCCAGAATTTTCGTCATCCACTCAATGGCTACACTCCACAAGTGTATGATGAATAGGTAGCTATGGTGAACTTTGAAGCCTGCGGGTCAAAGTTCTCTCTCATTATCCCCACCATTTTCTATTGGTACAGCTCCTCAGCATCCCAAGGGAAGGGAAGGTTTGAGGCTCTTGAAAAAACCTGACATGACCAAGTCAGAAAACAGTAGGGTGCTTATGTACATGTATTTTCTTTCCCCATTCTTCTCTTCCCCCACTTTCTTAAGAAGAAGGAATACGAATTTAGCTATTGTGTAAAATGTCAACCTGGTGGCATCTCTAGTTACTTATTTAGCTGGCACAATGCAGTCATTTCAGCACACTACCGTGCCAAACAGGCCTGACCCTTCCAGGGATACCTCCTCTGCAAGTATGATACTAATTTGATTTTCACTCCCCACCCCAAAATCTTTCATTTTGTAGGCAATCCTTTATTCAGCAAGGACAACAGTACTGATTTCTGTGACACTGATGCATTCACTATATTAAAAAACACCTTCTTCACGTCTGACATGCTGCTGAACACATCTGACAGCAGAGACAACCGATCCACTTTTGGCCAGATCTCAAGCACTAGTTAATACAGTGCCTGCTAGCAGCCATCACATATTTAAAAAGCTTCTTCCAAAGCAAGAAATCAACAAAATTGGATGTTCTGACCCAAACCACAAACCGGAAGGACCAAGCTACCTTCTGAATTGGTTTCTTCCTGCCACCACTAGAGGCCAGCCCGCCGCGTGCTTCACAGAATTGCAACTGCAAAGCATGGAGTAACCCAAATTACCTGCGGATTTGAAATAACCCAAGTCTAAGTGAAAAATGCATGTATGGTAATTGACGGCTGTACAGCTGCCTGATGCATAAAGAACGCTCTGCAGGGTATATTAACAACAGCTAACTGACAATAAATAGTTTATTGACAGTACCGAACTGCACTGCTCAAGTAGTGCCGCGGCTCTTGGAAGGCTAAAATCAATAGAAATAAAACATTAAGCCAGCATCATTTATAACATAAATCACATCACAGAAAGATTTTAACATGAATGAACATAAGCCTACATATTCCTAGAATGTGGATTTGGTGAAGGCGTCTCAAGAAGCCTGAGAACAAGTACTAGGCTTTGCCCAGTAGCTTCTTGGCAGCGAGGAGCCGAGCATGGTCCCTCACCACGATCTACCAAAACACAGCCAAGGGAAAAGTAGTGAGTTACAAACCTCTCTCATCTATGAAAGGAGGTCTGAGCAAATGAAGTACATGGACGTGTACCTTTTCTTGGGAGTGGGGGGGCACGGTGGGGGATAGAGGGAAACAATTACAGGCTAGTAATTACTTCTTCTTTAAATGGATTCTCTCTAATCTCCAATGGATTTACCTCTAATCTCAAAGTAATTACCTCTAATCTCAATGGATTCTCACTCTGGGGAAGACTAAGCAGCTCCAGGGAAGCTGAGAGAGAAGTATTCTATTGTCTGCAAAGAGCGATGAAAAACTAACATATGTGCACAGAAACCATCAGGAACAATAGAGCACTTGCACAGCGAGGACGGGACCGGGGCGCACACAGCGGCAGCCTGCCTCCTGTCCCTCGCTGACCCCGAGTGGCCGTCGCAGCCCAAACCCACGGGGGCTGTTCTCAAAGGCACGTGTGTACGTGCTTCCCTTCTGCCAGCCACGCTGATGCACAAGTTGGGTGTTTCAGGACTACCTCTTGGCAGAGTTCCACCCACATTGGAGACTCAAAGAATGGCCAAAGTGGCCAGTTCCACAAAAGGGAAAAATGAAAAACTGGACAGTCACTTCCTCCAGAGGTACAGGTAAGAGGGACGAGATTTCTGATAGAAAGCAGCAATTACTTGAAGCTAGTTGCCATGTAATTTTTAAGAAATACAGAAGTAATCATGAGAAATAATAGCACAGCATGATTATGGCACGAGGCAAGACTATTAAGTCTCGTGACAAGCCAGAGAAAACGCCATTGTTCAGCAGACAGGAAGAGCAAGTTGGTGCAAGCACAGCATCAATGTGGCCATGCTCCTGAGACATTACCCACTGAAAGCAGAAGCTTTCTGCCAGATCTACGTAGAGATCTGTAAGACCTAGAGCACATCTACAGAAATACATCTATTTAAAACCTTTGTTTTTACCCTTTAATGAAAACTTTGCCCAGGAGCTCACAGTGACAGCAATAGCCATCAAATGACCCTAAAACTTTACAACTGGTCACCTTCTAATTTCAGAATATGATGGTAAAGCTTAAGACCTGAGACAATTCCAAAGATCTTGACAAGGGTCATACTATGTTTTCCTGTATTTCACTCTTGCCTGTACTACAGAGCAAGTGCGGGAGCTTGGAATTCGCTGGGAATTACAAAACCTTGACTGTCTATATAGGTTCTGTTCTTTGAATTGCTCTGACATGGCACAAGTTCTGACAACTCTCACCTTTCCTCCTGCTGGCCTGTCTGGGACTGATGGGATGGGCCAGTTTTGAGTCTCAGACCTGTGCTCCTTCCACCCCCAAAACCAAACCCAGGGAGTGTTACACATACTGAGAAGGACTGACAGGGTCCTTGGGCAGACAATGACAGACATCTTAACATAAATACATTTTACAGCACGTGTTTTAATAGAGATGTCATTTTCAAAAGGCTATTCAGAATTATTTTCTGATTAAACCATAGGAACTGCACACTGACAAATACCAGAAAACTTTCTCATTCTACATCTACAAAGTTGTACTGTGCAATAATTTTCCTTTTAAAATGTTTTGGTTCTTTTTTAAATGGACAACAAGTCCATAAAAGCATCAGCACAAAATGAAGGCTTAAACTGTTTCAGCTGCCTCTTGAAATCCAAGGGTACCCCTACTCCAAGGTGTTCAGAGGAACCTGACTGTAGACACACTGTTTCACTCTGGAGCTATATTTCCAGTTATGTCTTCTTGAAAGGAAGGAGAAGGGAATGAAGAGAGAAGGAAGTTCCCCCACCAACATGGGCTCACCAAAAACATTCCCAGATGAGCCTGCTAACACTACTTTATCAGGGCTTGGTGGTTGCTGAACACAGAGAGCACGATGCACTTACATGTAAACTAGGATGATAGGTCAGTACACCATTGTCGCACAACGTCACGTATTTCTTCTTCCATTCTTTATTCAATGACTTGCCACTTCGCTTTAGCAGCATACCCTGTTAGAGAACAGAAGAAAAAAGATTAAGCATTATTTTGCCAATGCACACCTATTTAAGACACAGAAAAGGACTAAATATAATTTGAGATATGTTTTCTCCTACAAATTCCTCATTTTCATATTTTTCCCATAATACATTTTTCTCCATCATAAGCTTTAGTGCTAGCAATTTAGAAGCAAAAGCTCTAAGCACAGCTTTTATAAAGCAAGTCATGTAAACAGAAAAGACTGTGTAATGTCAGCTTTGTCCAACAGGTAGAGAAAATCATTTTGCATTCAACTTCATTCCTCGGGAAAGCACATTTTAACATGTCACAGAGTAGGCTACCTCTGCACATACAGAGCTGATAAAGACAACACACTTGGCGTGCACTTCCTTGCACTCTGAAATAAATGATGAATCTCAGGGTGTGTGAGGGTCATACTATACGGCTCGTGCTCCTTTTAGCACATACCTGCAGGTTCCTTTGTTGTTCAGTCTTGGCCTCCCACAAACAGGGAATGGCGCACATTTATGTTTCCATTCCTGTCTTCAGTGACACTACAATGGAAATTCTCCTAACTACTCATTCCAAACAAAAAGAGATGACACTAATGCCAGGCAGGAGCAGCAAAATGGTAACAGGCCAAGTACAGAGCTTTTCCAATAACTTCTGGATAACCGGAGGAAAAAGGTATAGTCAATAAGGAAAGGAGGTGGGCGAGATGACTCACTTTTCCATAAATCATAGTCAATCTACACATCAGTGATGAATTTCAACAATCAATAATTGAGATTAAAAGTCATCATTGTGTTTAAATGGCCAAGGACTACTAGCACATACCAACCTGCTTTCTCAGCATAACAAGAGAAATTCACTTTGAAAAGCAGAATGTAACTTCTTGTACCACAAATTGATAGTAAATCAAACAATGCTTTAGCGTTGTTCTTCCTTAGGAAGTGTTCGTTTCCAAGCCAAGTCAGAAGGCAGTTCCCTGATGAATTCACACAGTAATCTGGTTACTGGAAGTCGTAGCCTCTCCACCAGGACATTTCAGCACACACAAGTACTGCCACAGGTAGCAGTTTCACAGGTTAAGTTTGGAAAAAGCATTCACTTCTGTTAATTTCAATAAATCATCATCAGGAATCTAAACTAATACAAGTTTCGGTTTTCTTATCCCCATAAAAAGTCTTCCCATTCTGATGGAACTTAAAGAAAAAAACGGAAAAAACATCACCAAGGAGGCAGAACATCAAGCGATGCACCATTAAGCATGGTGCTTCCAAATATTTCAAGATGTTTTTGTTAAAGCAGTCACGTTTTGTGAGCAAGTTATGCTATCTGCCTTCCCATTAAACCTGCAGCTTATAAAACGGTCCATCTCAGACCAAATCCCAAGACCAAAATGGACCAGGAGTAGGTCTATGCCACTGCACAACAAGAACTCTTTCAGAGCTATACGTATTTTTTCGTCCCTCGGCTCCCAATGGGAAAAGTTTCAGCTGAAGACCCTTGCCACAATCCACAGGAACTAACAACTCTCCTTCTGCAGCCACAGAGATGATCCCTTCAGAAAATCAGAGTTCACAACCGCCTGTTCCTGGACACACACTTGGAATAAAACTTCAATGAGCAACCCTTCACAATTCAAAGCCATCAGTGGACGGGACTGTAAATAAGAGCTCGTGTCAGAGGACTGAATTACAAACTAGTGCAAACCCCTAACTTTCTGACCATCTGGGGGTCACGTTTCTTTTTTTGTGCTGTTCTTTGCTACACTTAGGCGGTTCACCCTCAAACTTTTACAAAACAGAATGGGGCTTCTGAAAGGGCTTCTTACAAAAGCTTCTTGTGAGCGTGAGTTACACATCCCAATTACTGACTTCTAGTGGTTAGAAACGTTGTTTTCTTCCATTAAAAATGAAAGCTTATTCCAGCCTTTGACTTGTATGTTTGTCTATAGTAGGTGATCTGTCACTTCACCTTTCCAATCTTTCATACCTCACCTATAGCACATTCGCTCACATGTAGGGGGACCCAATTTCAGTTATCACTATGCTATGTGGATCAAAAATTACTCTCCTAAAGCTGTTTCCCTGCACTGGTTCTGATGTGTTTGTTCTTCAGACCTTTTAATGGGAAGAAAGCCATAAGGATCACAACTGTGTTTTTTTTTTCCTTGTCTTTTTTTTCTGAAGTCTTGAAGAAAGTAGAAATATATTTCACACCTTTTTACCTGTCCCTTTGCTATACAGAAAATATGCCACTATTACGTAATTTTCAGCTCTTGCCAATTATAAACTCAATAAATAGTAAAACTTCCAAGTTTAATGATTTTTATTACAGATGTTTTGTTAGTATCTAGGTGTGAATTATGGATCTAAATGAAGGAATTCAAAATGGGGCTTCACTTTGCTTCTCAAGTGCAATTCTGTGCTTTCATGTAAAAAATTACTCATTATCAAATATGTATCACTCACCTATTTGGCTCTAACTAACAAATCACACTTCCCAATCCATTTTTTTTAAAACCACGCATAAAGAATAAATTTTTTGTTTTATGTGAGAATTAAAAATATCTTGCAGTATCTGTGGAGAAAGCTGCTCTGAATACAAGGAGCTAACAAAGTGTTATGAAGCAGAGAAGCGCATAAGCCACACTTTTTTTTCCCCCCAAGGCCAGAGTTCGCCACTTTGTCTGTGATAATTATATAGAATGGTCCGGAGAAATGCTCTTAGTATTGGAGTTTAGATCCGCTATAAATGCACTTTAACATTAACTAAACTTAAAAAATAGATATATAAATAAATGGCCCAGATATGACAAGAAATGTTACTTAAAAAAAAAAAAAAAGAAAAGAAAAAGAAAGGCCTTCACTTTGGTCGCATTACGCCTACCTTTAAGGCACATCAGATGCTCTGCCTGGGAAATGAGCCCCGAGGTGCCCACGAGGCAGCAGGCAGACAGCTCGCCATGCCTCAATGCAGCCCCAGCCACGCAGTAAGGGACTGAGTAAGCCAACCCCAAGTTCAAAATGTTAATTTTATTTTTTTTTAATAATCTCTGCCCCAAATTATTATTAATCGGATAACATCGTTTCTCCTAATTTGCATGAAGCCTTCCATTACGTTCTTCCATCTGCAGTGAGCGCAGCTGACCTGCGCCTCGAGATTCAACACTACGGATGTAACGCCTCCGATTTGCTCATAAACAGAAGAATTTAACACTTCGAATTAATTTTTTACCACCTTCCCTCCAACTCTGCAATTCTGCATCTAGCGGAGGACCGCTTCTTTGAGCAGACAGCGGAGCTGTACTTTTAATGAGTTACAAGAAAAACACTCAAGCAGAGCGCACAAACTTCTCTTCTCGCCTCTTGCCCAACCATCGGCGTCGCCGTACAAAGAAAACAGAGGAATGAATTGTCTGTATGTACAGCAATCTCTTTATTAGTAATGTGTATGCTACGTCTAGTCCCAGGAGGTCATTGCAAGCCAAAAGCAATGTTAAGTGTACAAGCTTTAAATAACTTACAAAGTTAATGTAATGAATGTAAGTGTTATCTGAAATCCATCACTCAGTGGCTTGCTGTAGCCTCAAGCTGTGATAAAACACCACTCATAAATTTATATTAAAACTCTGTTCAATAGCAATTATTTACCAACAAAGATTTATTGATTGCATTTGCTGTTAGAGACTGGGGCCCTAACTGAGTCAATCAGCTTATGTTGTTGAGCTTCAGGGCACCAGGAGAAGTTACAGACTGCCATCAGGCTCTGCAGCCCGATCATTATTGCGAGAGTACAAGCAGCTAATGAAAGGCCTCCAGCGCGGGATCGATCGGGCTGACGGGAAGAGACCACTGGTCAAGGGACCACTGTGCATAATGCGCCCACTTCATCTGAATACGCGGCAATCAGCTCAACCTCGGCGCTCCAGACGCCCTCCCGTGAGCTACAAACCTTGCTTACAAATGAAGACGAATGGCGAAGCAATTACGAATTTGTTTTATGGAAATACTTCAGGTTTTAAGCAGCAAATTACCAGCATTTAAAAGAGCCACCTCCTGAAGTTGTTTAATATTGCATCAAAGCTGCCACTGCATGGCCTGCAGAATCAATACTGCATGGGGAGCAGCATACCTTGCGTTCCCTGTTGTGCTCCATTTTTTGTACTTTCCAGTGTGTTTTAGATTTTCCAGGGGCCACAAGAAATGAAGGTTTCACAAACAGGGTAATAATACCAGTGATCCCAGCTTAACTGACTGCAGTGTTGTGTTTTTTGTTTTTTTCCCCACTAGCTCCAGCCATAGCATTTGACTTTATTTAGTTTTGTATTTATTTTAAAGACGATTTGGTACACCTGACTTTTGTTAGCACGTCAAGCTGAGATGGTAGGACCCTCTTTGAAGGCTGCAGAGCCAGGACTGCACCTTCAGAAAAAGGAACAATACTTAGCTCTCTATTCTCTTTTGGAAACTTATACCACTGCCATGGCAGAGGTACAAGCATCATGCAAGCTTCTTTTTTTTCCTCCTTAATTTTAAGCCAACCCCATACTGTTACCCTGATGTTGTTTTGACAGAATGAAATATGCAATCTTGCACTTAATCATTAACAGCATAAATTCTTCATTTTCTATTCAATGCTATGAATTTTCTACAGCTCTGTCATTTGCATCTTGTTCATAAAAGGAAAAAAAAAAAAAAAAAAAAACACAACAATGCACTTATCACAAACATCCTCACCCAAAAAATTGCAATGGCAACCTTTCGTAGTCAGGATCTCAAACAACTGTTACTTGTGAATCCCGGTCAATAAAACACGTGCTTCCTTTAAATTGCTTAACATCATAAGCAAATGCTGGCAAAGCCTCCTGGTTTGCAGGACTAGCCAACACCACGTAGCCTGGCTAGTAGTATGGGGACTGGTCTAACTTGTCCTAGCAAGCAAGATTATTTCTTGACTGATGATTTTTGCTTCCAGAATATTTTACTGCAACAGGTTCCTAGAC